TTAGAAAAGATGTAAGAAGATATAATACTAATGTAATTACTCAAACAGTAGAAGAGAACAAAGGTTTAAAGATAATGAAAAGAAAACTTACGCAAAGTAAAAAAGAAATATACAAGCTGAGAGATAAAGACGGAAAGGCAACAACAGATAAACAAAACATTCTGAAAATAACTAGAGAATTTTATAAAGACCTCTATACCAGCCAAAGACCACAAGACAATTTCCCGACACGAGTAAAGACTCTCATAAATCAGGGATCGGAAATACTTTTACCCATTACTGTGTCAGAAGTAAGAGCAGCTTTAAAGGAAATGAAGAACCATCGATCGCCTGGTGATGATGGACTCGTTATCGAGGCAATAAAAGCAGGTGGAGAAATTTTATTAAAATCAGTAAGCGAACTGTTTACTAAATGCTTACATGCGGGTACAATTCCAAAAGACTGGAACAATGCAGTAATAGTCTTGTTACACAAAAAAGGCGATATTACTAAATTAGAAAATTATAGACCCATCAGCCTCTTGACACATATGTACAAACTCTTTATGAAAATCTTAACAAAGAGGCTAACACCTAAACTTGATTTCTATCAGCCCAAAGAACAGGCAGGCTTCAGGGCAGGATATGGCACAAATGACCATTTGCATACCATAAAGATCTTAATAGAAAAGTGCATCGAGTACAACATACCACTGGTTCTTGCATTTGTCGATTACGAGAAGGCTTTTGATTCTGTAGAGTTTGAAACAATACTGGAAGCCCTAAATCAAAGCCGAATAGATTACAGGTACACGACACTAATCAAAAACATCTATCAGAACGCTACATCAAGTATACGACTGCACGAAGACACAGAAAAATTCAGCTTAGGACGAGGAGTTAGACAAGGAGACAATATTTCACCAAAATTGTTCACGGCAGCTCTAGAGTCAATATTTAAGGGTACTCAATGGCAAGATATGGGCATCAATATAGATGGAGAAAGATTAAATCACCTAAGGTTTGCAGATGATGTTGTATTAATCGCAGATAACTTACATAATACAGTTACTATGATGGATTCGCTTAAAAGTCTGTCTGAAAGAGCAGGATTAAAGATAAACTTTGAGAAAACTAAAATTATAACAAATCTCGTAATGAGTGGAAATATAACTATTGACAATAATACCATACAACAAACAGACACTTACAAATATCTGGGACACGAAATCAAAATAAGCAGAGACAATCAAACACATGAAATACAGAGGCGAATAGGTCTAACGTGGGCAGCATTTGGCAAATTAAGCCATATTCTAAAAAGTTCAATTCCCATGTGTCTCAAGCGAAAGGTTTATAACCAATGTGTTTTACTTGTACAAACTTATGGAGCAGAGACTTTAACACTCACGCAAAAATCTGCGAATAAACTTAGAGTTACACAACGAGCCATGGAACGTGCAATGCTGAACGTGAGCCTTCGAGACCACATAACAAACCAACAAATCAGACGAAGATCAGGAGTTCAAGACGTCATCGAAAGAACCACGACGCTTAAGTGGAACTGGGCAGGGCACTTAGCCAGAACACAAGATGGACGGTGGACAAGACGTATTATGGAATGGAGGCCCAGAAATTATAAAAGAAGCCGAGGACGACCACCGACTAGATGGACCGATGACATTAAACGTGTAGCGGGAAACTGGCTACAAGCGGCCCAGTGTAGAGAACACTGGAAAGAATTGAGGGAGGCCTATGTCCAGCAGTGGACGCGATTGGCTGATTGATGATGATTGATGAACGTTCAAGACTTGGGGTCAAAGTTTCTTGTCACAATAAAAGTATCAAAAGCACACAAAAATAGAATATTTACCATAGTAGAGAACGAAACAAATACCATTCTCAATGCGATCAAAAACTATATTTCTTTAAGACCTGCATACACACAACATAAACAATTTTTCATTTTTTATAAAAATAACAAATGTTCCACACAGCCAGTTGGCATAAATACGTTTTCCAAAATTCCTTCCGTTATTGCTAAATTCTTAAAATTAGAGCACCCGCATCTCTACACTGGGCACAGCAGCAAAAAAAAATGTTGTTTATCGCTGAAAAAATTGTTGTTTATCGTTAAGCAAATAATAATTTAAACTAAGATATCTTTATTTCTGAAAAGTACGGTCGACGGAAAAGTTTTGTAACGAAATCATGAATTAAAACAGCGATTAACAATCTCGAACATTAAATAAATATCTCAATTGTTAATCGCCCTTATTAATACACTTGTTGGTTAAATAACTATTATCTTAATACTAAGATTAATAATGTTACGCCTTACAAACTTTGTTGTTCTTTAATAAAATCTTTAGATTTAGTCCATTTTATTAAAGTGTGAATTGTTGACATTAACAGAAAATTATCTTTTATTATACAAACCTATTTATGGTATATTAATTATAAAATTAAGTATTTTCATTGGCTCTTCAACAATATTAGCAACAAAAACAAAAGAAATATTAAGAAAGCCTTGTTAATACGCGAATTAGCGGAAGATGTTTAAAAATTAACATCGGACAGAGAGGTAGAATTTTTTAAACACGAATACCATAACACAAGCAGAGAAAACAAACAAAAACCTTAATTTTTTAATTGATAAAATCCTTTTCTTCACGCATTTTTATTTAATTTAAAAGCATTTTATAAAGAACATTCGTGAGTGACACATGAGTCTATAATAATGTACTACTTAGTAAAGTGCATTAATCCAAAGTCGAATGAATAAATTGAATACAATTGTTTGTTTTTATCGTAATGGTTGTTTTTCTTGACACCTAATCTATATGAGTAAGCCACAAAATAGCTTGCCATCAGAGGTTATCGTCTTCATTGCAACAAATGCTGCATAATGGACTATAAAGCTGATATCAGGCCTACAGTTGTCACATAACAAGCCTTCGTTCATTTAGCACATTTTTACGACTACAAACTGAAAGTGGTCGCGGAAGTGTAACGATCATAGTAATGTAAGGTGATTCGTAAATGTATACAAGGTTGTGGAAAAAGTTTAAAAAATCAAAATGTTTTCTTTGTTTCTTCGATCTAAACGTAAATCTTTTATCGCTGTGTAGTAACAACGAATTGTAAAAAGGGATGCAAATGATGCACATTTTACTAAAAAGTGTCGTTATGAAAAAGGAGCAAAGTTTTTTTGCAAATATTTGATTTTCAACGACAGATCTACAGTATTGTGCGAATTAATGGAATCACTGTGAATTTTTTTTCATTTTTTCAATATTCACAGTTGGCAACACTACCTACACAGTTGACAGCTGACCAAGCATTGAAAACATAACCTTACTGTGTGTTGGTGTGTTTGAGTGTGTTTTAGGTCATTTCTTACCAAGCTTGTGTTGTTTTGGGGGAATTTGTACTATTTTGTGTTGTTTTTGGTTTTATTCCAACATGGATATTACGCCTAGGAAGCGTGAAAAAATTGTCACGTTGAGTGAACACACTAGTATGTCACAAAGAGAGATTGCTAGAACGTGTGGAGTGAGTCAGGGGGTAGTAAGCAAAATTTTGAAGCGTAAACGAGTAACGGGATCAGTGGATGTGAAAAGGTTAGGAAAATGTGGAAGAAAGAGAAAAACAACACCAGCAGATGATAGATGTTTACTTCGAAAGAGCAAATTGGACCCAAGAAAATCAAGCCAAGACCTACAACAAGATCTAGCAGCATCAGCTATAGTGATTCATGACTCAACTGTTCGTGGAAGACTTTTGGAGAATGGTAGAAGGGCAATTCGTCCACAGAAAAAACAGCTTCTAACTGAACGAATGAAGAAGCAAAGGCTACTGTGGGCCAAAAAATACTCTAATTGGACTGTAGGCTACTGGAAAAAAGTCCTATTTACAGATGAAACCCACTTTATAGTTCAGGGACAGCGGTCGAAATTCGTCAGGAAGTCTGACAATGAAAAGCTTACCCCATCTCATATTGATCAAACCGTAAAACATCCAGTCAAGAAAATGTTTTGGGGATGTTTTTCATACATGGGGGTTGGATCTTTGGTACCAATTGAAGGCATGATGAACAGCCAAAAATACAAATCCATGATGGAAAAGTATTTGGACAAACAACTCCAAAAATGTCAACCCCAAGGAGGAGCGATTCTTCAACAGGACTCTGCTCCCTGTCACAAATCAAAGGAAATGATGGCATTTTTCAAAAATAAGAAGGTTAATGTTTTAGATTGGCCCGGTAATTCGACCGACCTCAACCCCATTGAAAATTTATGGGCCATTTGCAAAGCTAGATAGACTGCGAAAAATCGACTGTACCACTAAAACAAAGCGGCCATTCAGGTTTGGTATCGAGATGAAAGGATATCTGACAACTGCCAGAAATTCATAGAATCTATGCCAAAACGGGTAAAAGCAGTAATTGCTGCCAAAGTGGGACATATTTCCTACTGAATGATGTAAGTTTACCTTTATAGTTTTGTTAAAATATAATTTTTTACTAAATAAACTGTTTTTTATTAAAACAGCTTGTTTTTTTATTTAAACAGCTTATGATTCCATTAATTCGCACAATACTGTAGATCTTCCACTTGGATGGAATGGAAATTAGGTGTGATATATCTTTTAAAAATTAAAGGGCTAATAAAAACAATGCTTTTCATTCGTTGTTGAAGTATTTTAAGTCGTTAAAGTATAAGTGTGCAAAAATCTGTACGATGAACTTGATACAAAAAAAGATGAAAATATCAATCGGAATCGAAAGTTAAAACTTCCAGCTATGTAATTTTTCCCACACAAATGTATTAAAACAATATAGATCCTCTATCGCCTAATCTCGTTGCAAATTTTCAGTTGAAAACAGGTCAGTTATTGTCAGAAGGTGCTAGTGTTTATTTAGTCAGAAGGTGCTAGGAGAAGAAATTCCTATTTAACGGTCAAAATCGACAGAAGATAACATTTCTTTGGTAAATGATATCGATATTACACCTGCTCATATGGTATATAAGTTTCGGAATCCAAGGATTGGGTTTCGGGATATTTCACATATAACGAGAAGACAGAGACAAAGTGAAAAACTATGGTGGAACAAAGAAATAGAAGCACTCGCAGAAGAGAAAAGGCAAGCTTATATCATTATCAGGCTGAGCAGTAAACAACAAAAAGATAGAGATGAATACCTGGAACTCAAAAGAATAACAAGAAGAACAACAGTAAAAGCAAAAAGAGAAATGTGGGATAAGAAGTGCCAGGAAATTAATACCTACCTGGGAGGCAGAAAATGTACAGAAACATGGAAGTTCCTCAGTAAAATAAGAACTAACGAAAGGAAAAACAAACATCCGATTAATATCCACACAAAAATGGAAAAAGTACTATGGGGAACTACTAACAGAAAATAGGGACGAACACTTAACTCAATCACCAACAGAGGTTAATATTGAAGGAGCAGATATAATAATACAAGTGACAGAAATTAGAAAAGCTATAAAAGAACTGAAAAACGGTAGGTCTCCAGAACCAGGGGATATTCCAGCCGAACTAATAAAATGTGGATCACAAAAATTGTTTGACAAAAGTCACTTGGTGGTGTATAAATCAATTTATAAATGGTTCTCCCGTACCTGAAGAGTGGAAAATTGCTTATATTTCGTCGATCCGTAAGAAAGGAGATAAGCTTAAATGTGAAAACTATAGAGGGATATCAGTCACTAGTACATTCAGCCCTTTGTATGGACGAATAATTAGAGACCGCATTGAGAAGAAATACAAAGACCTATAGGAAGAAGAACAATCCGGTTTTCGAACAGGAAGAAGATGTACTGATAACATCTTCTGCCCCAAACAACTAATAGAAAAAAAATTAAGCACAAATCAAGAAACCCACCTCATGTTTATTGACTTGCAGAAGACGTACGATACAGTTCCTGTAAACACACTCTGGAACGTGTTACGACAGACGAATATTAGTGTCAACTTAATAAAAGACTGAAGAAATTTGACACATTAGCTCCTAGCGTTACATATATGTCACATCATATACTGAGTGATTTATAAATCCGAATGCGTAAATTCATGTATTTTTATGTACCTATTTATAGTGTATTTTTATGTATGAGAGAGTAATAAAACAATAAATTATGTATGCAAATCCCTAAACTGTTGATACGGGTGACTCAATGAAAAACAGATATTTGTCAACAAGTTTACAAAAGTATATAGGAAAACAATTTTAAATTGAGTATGACCACCAGGTATAAAGGTTGGAGCAGAATAGAATACAATAGTTGTGAGGGTTACTAATCCCTAAATAAGGTTGCCAGTGTCGGAGTGATGGAGGTTAACAGGTACTAATGAATTTGCAAGAAATGTAAGATGTTTAATTTATTGGTTATATATAACCAATAAAAGTTTAATAAGTACCTACCTATTTGCAAAATAAAGTTTAATTCTTTAGATAAAATAAAACCTTTTATTTTATCTGAAATGAGTGCATTCCACGAAGTAAGGGTTTCTACAATCAAACATTTAATTCTTTAATTCCAGGAATCTACGACAGTAATTGACTAGATAATTACGTTCTAAACTTATTCCACAGAAAATGTGATAGTGGGTTTTTCCATTTTGTAGGAAGGTCCAAGTGGCGTATTCAAAATTCTTAACAGTTCACTAAAAGTAGGTACTTCAGTTGCAAGGTGCAGTTTATTGTGTATACTAGTGTTATGGAAAATTTGGAAGTGCCGTGTAAACGCCGAAAAATTGGTCCTTTAACAGTTAATGAAAAAACATTAATATTTAATTGTTTTAAATCATTTACAGACAAACGTTTATGTGAAAGTGTTTATGAGACCGTTGAGTTAGTTAGCAGTACCCTTGGTGTTGGGAAATCTACGATTTACAGAGTTATTAAAGAAGAGAAATGTGGTAGTTTTCAAATGCCACGTAATGCTCCAGGGAAACCAAAATTTCAAATAGAATATCATTTTAAAGAAGGACATCGACGGAAAGTGCATGAATTCTTCTTTAGACAAGAATTTCCAACATTGGATAAAGTTCTTGTCTCAGTTCGAGATGATCAGGATTACCCAGAAATGAGTCGAAGTACGTTATGGAAACTTTTAAAAGAAATAGGCTTCCGCTGGAAAAAGAATCCCAGAAAGTCTATTTTATTAGAAAGAAGCGATATTGTCATATGGAGAAGACATTTTCTAAGAACCATAAAGGAAATGAGAAACTAAAAAAGAAAAATATTTTGATGAAACATGGATCAACGAGGGTCATACACCAAATAAATTTTGGCAGGATGAAACTGTTACAAGTCAAAGGCACGCTTTTGTTAATAACTTATCTACTGGCAGTAAATCACACTATTAAAGAAGAGGAAAAAATGTGGAAGCTGGACAATATTACTGATAAAATGATCGAGCCAGTTATTATAAATCTTGGTTCTGAAAGTTCATCTTCTGAATCTGATTTGGATTTATAACAAGTAGCTGTAAATTTTATATTAATATTTTTATTCATCTATTTAACATACCTTAGACGGTTTTAAAAACTCTTTTTCTCTTTTGTAATTTTTAAAAATAAAAAAAAATGTGAATTTTTTAAAATCCTTTTTAATGTAGGCCAGTCAGTTCTAATATAGTGTGTGATAAAAGAGGTCACTTTTGTTTACATACACATAACACTTTATAACACTGAAATAATTCATTTATTTTTTACAATTATTCAAAGTAATTTTTCAATTAATCTTGAGCACGCCCATGGAGTGGTCGAAGGTACCAGTTAAAATTATGCTAATTACTCTCTCGTTCATAAAAATAAACTATAGTTAATAAAACAGCTCCCAATATATTAGCATCACATTGAAAACTGCAAAAAAAAAATCTGCGCACTAATGGGGTTAATAACCATTAAGAAATTGGCATGAAAAACATAAAGAAAGTTTTATAAGGTTCCTCGTAGGTTACCTTGTAAATTGAGATATCTGTTAACCCACTTTTCTGCTAGGCGTCGGTCGTTTAATTAAACAAATCGACAATAAAATATTATCGTTTCTCTCATCCTAGATTTACTATTTACAATAGTTTACATTGTAGACAAAATATTTATTATTAGTGTGGCTGCAATAGAACAAGAAAAAGAAGTTTATCGCACGTTTGAATCACAATCTGAACGGATGTATTGGTAAATTTATTGAATCGACAAGCGAGAAAAATGCCCAGCAGAAGGCAAAAACAATATTAATATTATTATGTGCTCGGTATGTCGGTCAATGACTTGTGATATAAAAAAGGTAGGATTAAAAGCAGCCAGTTCAAGGCTTTGTTTAAATATTTCAATCAAATGTTTATAGTAAGAATATCCTGTTTCGGAAAGAGGACAAATGTCATAGATTAAAAAAATATGGGCATTGTTTATATTTCAATGATTTTGCATGTTGATAGTACGTAAGTTCGCAATAAACTAAAAAGATTTATCACCATTCCTAACTTTTTTAAAACGTATACTACAGTAGTTATAGGAAAATCCTGTATTACAGTTTACTTGAAAAAAATAATAAAATATAACGGAGGAGGATTTGAAGAAGAAAGTACAAGACAATCACAATTACAGACAATTACAATTTTGCACTGATTACAAGACTGAAGAGCATTATGCGACAACTGATATTCTCTCTTTCTCTGTAGATGGTTGACGCTACTGTGTCGTCTGTATAAAGGCTGATTAGTGTTCCTAGAACATCTGCGGTGGATATCTTCGTAATATCTTCGTACCCTGAAGCTTCGATTGCTCAAGTACGAAGATATTAGTCTCGTTATGGCCTCACTGTATCCGAAGCCTCTCATTGTGTATACTCGCGATCATAAAATCCAGGTCACCTTGAAAATTTCAACTTTCTTGAATATTTTTGCTTCTGTTGCAGTAATTTTAGACTAATTTATTTTTATTTGTCATTAATTTTTGTTTTTTATGTTGTGGTATGTTATTCCACCCTCTCACTAACAGATCCTTAAGCTCCTGTGATTACGTTTTTTCAAACCATCCCATAGATGTTCGAGGGGATTTAGGTCCGGAAACCTAGTTGGCCAGGGTAACCTATAATTCCAACCTAGTTTTGCGTACTGATTCTGGCAAAAACGTCGTCTTCTCCAAGCCCTGCATGGTGGGCAAAACATGTGCTTCCAGAATCTCAGTAATGTATCTTCGTGCAGTTAAGGACTCGTTTTCGATGAAGGGTAATTCTGTGCGGAAGTTGGAAGATACACCTCCCCAAGCCATGACTGAGCCTCCACCAAATGGCATTCTTGGAGCAATGCAAGTTTGTGAAAATCGTTCACCGGTTCTCCTCCAAACTTTTACACGTCCATCGGATCCAGTTCATCAAAGAGATCACACGTTAGTTCCCGTATGCTTGTATTGTCGAGCAAAAGCTAGTCGTGCAAATCGATGCGCCCGGCGAAGTGGCGGTCCTGTAGTCATTGCCCGAGAAAGAATGAAGTGTTCTCCTGAGCGTTGCAACGCTAACATTGTGATTTCGTACTTTATTTAGACGATTTTGATGCATTACCGCAGTTGAGATCCGGTTTGGTAAAGCCTGAAACACAAGGAAACGGCCGTCTCGTGCCGTGGTCGTTCTTTGTCGTCCACATCCAGATCGTCTAGTTAGCAAACCCGTCTATTAAAAGCGTTGAAGCACTCGTTAAACCGTAGAAAGTCTTACACCAACAGTTCTTGTGACTTGCCTTTGAGTGTGACCGTCTTCCACAAGCGTAACAATTCGTGCCATTTCAACAACAGTCAAACGCATTTCTGGCAAATAATAAACACTAATAATAGCACTAATAAAAATTTTTTAGGAGATACAGCGACGTACCCAGTCACCTAGGACTCGATAACATGGAAAGAGTCCCACCAGAGCTCAATCCTTTTGATACCGTATGTATCTGGGATGAGTGAATTTTTCCCTTAGAGGGAGTGTGAGCCGTATGGCTAAATCCGCACTAATAAACACTAACGGTAGCAATAATAAAAGTTTATTCTTTGCGTTTGAACAGAAAGTCAAAGCACAAATGAGACATTTAAAACAAGCGACAGTTGCAGATACCCTTTATTTTGGGAAATGTGCACTTTTCCGCGAAATCAAAAGCAAACCGCTAAGCCGACAACAATTCTCAGAAACATGCATTAGTTTGTATTTGTGTTATTATCTATTATTTACAAAAAAAGCTCGTTAAAAATGAAATATCGGCAATTTTCAAGGTGACCCGGATTTTATGACCGCGAGTGTATATCAGGCCTTTATGCCAGACTCTTTTCTGACATCGGAACCATGATAATGTGGATTTTCTTCCATTGATTTGGGAACAGCCTGTATCTAAGGATCGCTTTCGTTATGTTG